CTCTCACTTCTTCACTTTTAATTCTTGAATTCCTTCCCAGGGACCATAAATAATCCAAAATAAAGTAAATTAGAAAATTAAATAATTAGGCATATATAGGAAGAAATTAAGAGTAGATTTTAGCAAAATTTATTTTAAGAAGTTAAGAATTGATACTCAAAGAGGACTAATTGTCAATCTTGGTTGAAATTAGACCTTGAGGTATAAAATCACATATCAATGGCAACTTCGGAGTTCTTTGGTAGATTGAAGAGTAGAATTTTATATTAGATTTGAAGAAAAAAATTTGGTCATGGGTTTCTTGAATTTTGTAGTATGTGTAGGGATAAATTTTGGACTAGGTACATTATATCAACCATACTAGGTGGACAAGGTCAAGAACACCAAAATTTTAATGCCACAAAATTAATAAAGGCAACAAGGTAAGATGGCTTGGATTTGAGTTAATGGAGGTGAACTCATTTGGAACATGGAGGTTGCTTGGGAGAAAGTTTGTATTCACTAGAAATGTTAGAATTATTGGATTGGATAGTTATTTGAATTAAGATTGCATGGAATATCAAATTATCATTTAGTTTTATAGCATGAATTAGAAATTCTAAAGAAAGAAAGAAAGAAAGAGGGTTGCAATGTCATATTGTGGTTTAGCTACTATGTAAAAATAATACATATAAATATTTAATATATAATTTATTATACAATGTGGTAAGAGCCACATTATTAGATTTTATTTAGTTAAAAAATAGAGTTAGATTACTACTTTGAAGTAGTTAATTTAAAAGGACTTTTATTGAGATTGATTTTATGTTGATTTTAGTTTTTATATAATTAGAGTCATCTTTATTAGAAATTGGCGACTCTTAAAATCATATTTTATTTTTTTTATTTAGTATTTAGGACAGATATTATATAAATCTTATAAAAAAGACGATTAGAGATGGATTTTGATAGCAAAATGAGTAATTAGGACATGTGTATGGATTAATGGAGATGGATGATGAAAATCTCTATTATTATTGGCCAAAAGGCATACCCAATTGGCTCCAAAGAAGATGCCTAATGCCTTATTAGAGACCACGATTATTCTTTGGATGAAATTCAAATTTAAAAAGTTAGAATCAAAAAGTTTAAGATTTTGGCTATGGTTTTGATACAAATTTTGGATGTTTTGGAGTTTTTATGAGAAAAATATAGGTGCTCAATGTTAGGATGTGGGTTTTATATCTACTATCACGCTTTGGGATATAACTCATGCATTTGAAAAGCAATAAAGGATCGGCAATTAGGATTGAAAAAGAGCATTTTTTTTGCTACACTTTTTGCATACTGCTTGATAAATTCTAAGCTGAGATAAAGGAGTTATAGGAAGTTGAAGTTAACACTTGCAATCTAAGGGCAGTAAAAGACTTGATTTACTAGTGGTTATATTTTGAACCAAATCTTGAGAAATTTGACAAAATTTTGGCCAATTTTTTTGAAAATATGTGTTATCATGTTAATAAATTTATACTTAATTTTTGTGGCATTTGGAGTTTGGATTTTTGAGATATAGAGAAAATAGTGTTTGGATGCTTGTAAATTAGGATTTAAAGCACTTGCTAAGGTTTCTAAGATGCCAAATGCTCTTTAGTAGATTTATAATTTATTTTTTTTATAGTGAAGCTTAAGAATATACCCTATATTTTCTAGAAATTTGAAAAAAAAATTAAATGGTATGATTAAGATATATGAATTTTTAAAGTTTGGAAGAGAAAAAAAAATCTTTGTAGAAGAAAAATATTTTAAAAGGTTTTTGCTATAATTTGGATATTTTATGCAAAATAAAGGGATTTTTAGGAGCCAAGATAGTATGTATATATGTATATATTAGAGATAGAGATATAGAGCTATGAAAAATTATAATATAAAGATGGATATTTATAAGAGAATTATAGATTATCTGTAAGCTTATAAAAAATCAAACTTATCAGCAAATAACTAATTATGATTTGATATAACAAAGGATATATGAACATTTTTAAATCCTTTAGAAAGCCTTATATATAAAGCTTCTTAAATACAAAAGGATTTTATTATTAGAATATCTTTAGATACTATCATATTTCTTTGGCCTTTATAATAAGAAAACATCACTTATTGGAATTTGTCTAATAAATTAAAGCTAAATTCTCTACAACTAGGCATTTGGTGTATTCTTGTATAGAGAATTATACCACATGACAGTGGTGTGAAGAGGTTTTTTGGTCGTGGGGCATAGGAGTAGATCCAGATTAGTGGAGAAGGTTGCTGATCAAGAGAAAGAGGAAGTGTAGATTTTAAAGGAACTTGAGTTGGCTATAAGAAAGGCAACAATAATATTGCATTGAATTGGTGTTGACAATATTGTACTAAAATTATTTATAGTATATAAAAATTAAATAAAATATATAATATATTTATAAATATTGATGTATATTAGAGTAGTTAATAAGATAATTTAAAAAGAGTTGATATAAGAAAATTTCCTTGACTTTGAACAAAAATTATAAAATCAAACCAAATTCTATAAATAAAAAGCCTTATTTTTTTAGAACAAGCTCTAAGCTAGCTCTCCAATCCTAATTGCAAATTTTTAAATGCCTCCCTATTTTGCTCTAGGCAATTGTTTTAGTAGTTAGAGGTCTGATTTTGACCATGTCTCACAAATGGTCGATCCATGAGTATCAATCTAACCTATCCTAGGGATTTTTTAGCCCAATCCTATCTTTAACTTAACCTTAGTATCAACTATGCTAATTATTTATCTCTTTTAATCTAACCTTATGAATTTATAATCTTTCAAAGGTAATAAATGAGTTTCTACAGCCTAGAAGGTAAAATTACTAACCAATCTTTAACCTACTAACTATTAAGGCAAGATAATAAACTAAAAGATTTTTATAAAAGCCATGTTTAAATATCTTAAATTTTTATTGAACCAAGATAATTAGATATTAATTAAAATTTTATTTTTGATTATATTTTTACAATATAGTCATATTACAATATGACAATGGATCTTATTTGTATAGTTGTTTTAGAAGAGACAACAAAGTGAAGGCATTCCTATAGGAAGAGATTTAAGCAGTGGTGTTGTAGGGACATTGTCGTAATACATAAAATCTTACTCAAGAATATATTAGACACCTTGCAGTGAAAGGTAGAACAAAAATTACAACAACAAAATTCCAACTCTAATAGAAGACTAAATAAATTCTAATTAAAATATAATAATATTAAGCAAGCTTTAATCAAATTTAAAAGAGAATTAAAGAAATTATAAATGAAACAATAAGAAATCTTAAAAGAGTTCAAAAGAAATCAACAATAAACTTTAAAAGAATCTTTAAGAAATTCTAAAAAAATCTTAAAATAATCACAAATATATCTTAAATAAATCTCAACTAAATCCTAATTTAATCATAGTTAAAATCCTAATAGACTTGAATCAAATCCTAGGCAAAATCCTAACTACACTCTAAATCGTAAATCAAGCCCTAGACAAATCCTAAACTCTAAACCAAATCCTAATAAAACCCTAGACAAATCTCAAACTCTAATTAAATCCTAAATTCTAAATCAAATTCTAACCAAACCTTAGATCCTAAATCAAACCCTAAACCAAATCCTAACCAAATTCTAAATCCTAAATAAATCCTAATCAAATCCTAAACTCTAAACCAAATCCTAACAAAATCCTAAACCCTAAATCCTAAATCAAATCATAAACCCTAAATCCTAATCAAGTACTAAATCCTAAACCAAATCCTAACCAAATCTTAATCCTAAACCAAACCCTAACTAAATCCTAAACCCTAAACCAAATCCTGAGGTACTTTAAAACCTTGATATCTTTTGATTAAACTGTTGATCTTAATTAAAATTTTAGTCACCTCTCAATTTCTTAGTTACAAACAAGTACAACAAATTTTAACACAATCGCATTTACCAAATGAAAGAAAAACTCTAAAATCTATTCAGATGTTGGTCAGCCTAACAATAGTGAAATGTTTCAGATTACATCCATGAGATAACTTGTTGTGACGATCAAGTTAAAATATCATTATCACAGCTTACTTCCAATAATGCCTAATACAATGTAATAATGGTACATTACATTTCTACATAACTAACATTTGGCCATTATTAGTGTCAAGCCAGTAGTAGGGTTGCTCTGGGTTTGGTTGTTGGTACCAAAGTCTTCAACGCAGGTTCAAGTCAAATTCCCTACAGGTCATGTGTGACTGTTATGCTCTGTGGCGTTAATGTAATGACTTATTCCAAAGGTCCTCCAACCTCTGACTTGGTACACTCAACCATCTCCAGATCATATTCAACCGGCGGTAGCGCCACATATTTGGGCCAAATGTTATCGTAGCCATGGAATGTATCAATAGATTTAGCACAAATTGTGTACGGGTCCAAGTATGAATTACACAGCCGAACGGTTCACTGTGAGACACGAACAGGAGCAGCTTGAGAGTGCAGTACTCAATGTTTTTCAATCCCCGTTAAGTAATAAAGAACATAGCTGCTCCAGCACCACCAACCGAACCGAATATTCTAGGACCAGCAACCTTACAAAGCAGCTCCTTTGGCCTCAGGATTAGGGTATATACATTACAATGCAATATATGTACTTGGAAGATCGAGGCAGCGAATGCAAAAGATCAGGTTAAGGGCTTATCTTGATAACTATGTTGGTGACGATTAGATATCACTTCATGCACCACTTCAAAAGAAAGTAACAAGTTCTGGCCACGCCACTCTCCTCAAGGTCCGATTCAAGTAACATGCTCCCTCAAAGCACGCGGAGAACAATCATGCGTACAGCCTGACAACTGATACGATATACGGGTTTGCTGCAATATCTATACAATACATACAAACGGTAATACAACCATACGGAAGGGTGGACGAGGAGAGAGTGAAGTTAATGACAGACCGTACTGATAGGGCGTCCGCTCCTGCTCTGGAGTCGGGGGTGGCGGCTTCTGCGGATCTGGAGCGTGTGCACCCATCAAATGTGACTCCATTGCCGCTGACTGTTGTTTGCTTGCTTGCTACATGCTATGACTCACGCAGTTGTAGTGCGCTCTGACTTCTAAGTTTAGCTAGCACTCCCACTTTGCTCTGCTCACTCTTCTCTCCAACGTCTTGTTCCCTCCACCGCCGCCTTGCTTGTCTCCCTTGCTTCCTACAGTTCTCTCCTCTCCTCTCCTTTCCTATGAGATGTCAAGCTCTCTTAGATCTTCGGTATTTTTCAATACTTCTTCCACGGCTAACCCCCACCCCTCTTTTACCCTGCCTTTGTCCTTCATGTCTGCCTCCTTGCAATCTCTTCTTCTGTCTCCTTTTGTTTCCTCTCCACATTGCCTGGGTGTGCGCATGGGATGGGTAGTGCCAGCACCACACCCAATGTGATGACTGCTTATGTTTCCTCCTCCTCTTCTTCCTCTTCTGCCGCTCAGGTTAGTCGCTCCCACCGTCCCTTTCTGGATCGTGTTCTCTCCGAGTCCCCTCCACCTTTTCCACCACATGGACTTCTCATCTCTCTCTTCTTCCCGCAATTACGCCCCCTCCACCATGGTCTCAACCACCAAACGAGATCTTGACAACAAAAATGACCTGTACATCTTGCTCGACCCCGAGAAGTTCCCGACTCCCCATCTTGCCAACATTGAGGAGGATTACCCTATGTTCATGCCACCACTTCGGTCTTTTCCCGCCCCTGAGACCCCCTTGGAGCCTATGGAGTTCCTCTCCAGATCCTGGAGTATCTCGTCTGTGGATGTTGCGCGCTCTTTGCAGCTGAAGTCTCAGCACTCGCATGGCTCCCTTAGAGCTTTAGAGCCGGGTTCGCAGCATACGTCGCTGGAGGATCCCACGTTGTGTGCCCCCTTTACATTCGCCTCGACACTTACTTCTCAGATGGTCATGGATCGACTCATGGCACCGGGCTCTAGCTCGGTAAGCCTGTCTGCCTCCCTTGTAATCTTTTGCTTTCACCAGGTAAAGGGTAGATAATGAGATTTGCAAGTATCCTACCCTATTTTGTTATAATTGCTTTGTCCACGCATTCCCACTTTTGCTACATCCTGCGTTACTGCTGCATTCCAAGAATTTCTTCTCTCACACATAAATCTGGTCTAGGTCTGTACTGTAAACTAGCTGTATAGCCAACTTCAGATTCGCTTATAACATTCTATCTTTTTTAGCCACTGTCGATATGCTGTTGCTCTCTGGACACCGAAACTGGAAGCTACCTCCTCATTCGCGCTCACATTCCTGTCGTTGTTTTATTCACGTCACATCGTGGCAGGATTTTAGTGGTGATTGTACTGTAGATGTCAAGATAGTTAATGGTGATTAGTCTCTGATATCTAGCGGATTTAGTGGCACGGGTCTCTATCTTTTTGTCTACCTTAAGAGCGATGTTAGAGTCTCCATGGTCTCGAGAATTCCGTAGTGTTGAACGTCCCGAATTATGGCTTGGTTTTTTCATTGGATTTAACGTTTCACGTGGTGGCATGATTGCTTTTGTTTTGTTTTGTTTTGTTTTTTGTTTTTTTCTGGTGTCATGTTTTGAATAGCACGGAGTGTAATGTAATTCAAGAGTATTTGATCTGCAGCTGGATTTCATTCTGTTTAACGCTGTCTTGTTACCTACATGGTTCTGCTGTTGGATCGGGTTGATGATGTTCCTCTGTGCATACCATATTTTGTCCTGTATATTTATGTGGACTTCGTTCCGAGTATCTTGAAAGTATTGCTATTGGTGTGGAAGGCGTGTATGCCTCTACCATTTCTGTTCACAGATCCTTCTTGACGTCGTTTAAATATTTTTGATTGGAAGATTAAGTGCCCCACTCAATAACATGTCGTAGCGTATTATAGTCAAAATACCGTACCATATGCGACCACCTTCTTTCATCTCACCTGAACACTTTTCAGGAACCATCACCTTTTGTATCGCGGCGGAACTCTTACAGCAGTGGCTCGCTGGCATTGCTGAGCCCTCCGGTGTCTCCACGAACTGTTGAAGATTACAAGGTATCATTGTATATTTTTTGAATGTGAAGTGGAGCTTCCAGACTCAAATTATTTTAACTATCTTATTAATTAAACAACTCATTCTGAATGTATCGGTGTATAGTTTCGAAGAAGCTTCAGCATGATGAAAGCTCCCCTGTCAGGGAGGTCAATGAGCCGGTGGATAAAAGACCTCAAAACAAAGAAAAAAGAGGCGACCAGGTGTCAGAATGCACAGGTAAGTATTGTTCTCATGCACGTGCTTTCGTGTGTTAAGTTTCACATGTATCGATCTTTTGGGAAGCATCCATTTTAATCGATGTCATTGCAAAAAGTTATAATAATAATAATAATAATAATAATCATAAAATTAATGATATCCTTGTCAAACGTTTCAACAAGAAAGCATAGATCATTACAATGTGCAGAAGTTGGGATGTTTTTATACAACTAAAAATATTTTTGGGATTTAGAATTGCTCGCTAGTTCCAGACATTTAGGTTTGTTGTTATGCACGCAGGTTCATGCTGCTGTTTCCGTTGCTGGAGTGGCAGCTGCCATTGCTGCTGTTACAGCTGCAACTGCTGCTTCAGCTCAAGAGGATTCTTCAAAGACTTCCATGGCAGTTGCTTCTGCTGCTGCATTAGTTGCAGCTCAGTGCGTGGAGGTGGCAGAAAGCATAGGTGCTGACCGCGATCACATGGCTTCTATAGTGAGTTCAGCAGTAAATGTTCGTTCTGCTGGGGATATTTTGACTCTTACTGCCTCTGCTGCAACTTGTAAAGTCCTTCACCCTAATATCCGCATTAAGAGATGGAGTCTTTTTTGGTTTGTTTAGTCAAATACGATGTTTGCTTTGTGTGGTTGTTTTCTGATTCAGGATGTTGGATGTATTGACCGGATCCTTTTTGATGGTGGATGCTGTGTTTGAAGCTTTAAGAGGTGCCGCTACTTTAAGAGCAAGGAGGATGAAAGAAGCTCGAAGCCTGGCTGCTGTGACGCCTTACGAGAGAGCAGCAATTTGCCCTTCCATAACTTTCGGCGGTCAAGATACTGAAAATGAAAGTGAGACAGAGTACAACTGCCATGATGTACTCGCGAGAGGTGCTGAGTTTCTGAAGTGGTCGAAGACTGGTAAGTTTCATTCATTTTTATCAGCCAATGTAGAAGCTAGAACTTAGATATTGAGCGACTTCTTTCAGTTGTATCTTTGGAGTTTCTTCCGAAAATGCTTTTGCCATTGCCGTTTGAACACAATCCTTGCCATCTTTTGGTTTTCATGTGTTTACTTGTTACATGAGAAATTTAGGTTTTCACTAATGTTTTAAATATTCGAGCCTCGTGCTTTGGTACTAGTACATATCACTGAATCTCTCCTGGTGGCCGTATGAATGTTACGTTCACCTTATATTGTACCAAACTTAAAACCTGTGCCCTAATCTTTGGTCCTCATGCTGTTGGCGTTTCAGGTGATTTGCATTGGAGAAATGTTTTTATATACCTTAACAAAGTTGGTCAGGTTACTGTAAGGCTTCAAAGCAAACATATGAGGGGCGCACTCACGAAGAACAAAAAGAGTAAGTTTAGAGCTACACATCTCTTATGTCTTTCATTTCTTTCAGATATTCTGGAATCTCACTTGAGTTTTATTTTTTCTACCTTTAATATCATTGCAAAATCTTCGTACTTCTCGTCTAAGATGTTCACTGTCAGTTTCCATTTCTGTTTGTTTTTATTTACGAACAGGGTTATTGAAGGTGAATTGATTTTTTATGTTTCTTTGAAGGTATTATATTTCAAGTCTTTTCCAATATTCGAGCTTGGCCAGGTAGGAACATTTTGGAGGGCAGCGAAAATCGCCGATACTTTGCTCTCAGGACTTCTAGTGGAGACATGGAATTTGAGTGTCGGAACAAGGAGGAACATCAAGTCTGGACAGAGGGCATATCACGCCTCTTGTACATCTCAAGCCAATGCCGTCGAAGATAATGAAAAAAGGAGTGTTGTCTCTGCTGTAGTCAGGTTGGAACCTGTGCTGTTTCATGTGGCTAGTGTTTATATCTATCTTGCACAAGGTTGGTGCTTATGGTCATTTTCTCCTGGTCTTTTCTCCACCTCTGGATTCTTGGACAATTTGAAGGATAAGCGTTGAGGTTGGCACCAGGGATGTATATAACAGCATTCAAATTGATACATCTCCGAAGGACAATGAGCGAAAAGTTTTGAAGGAAAACGTAGAGAATTTCAGAGCGTTAGTAGGTTTCAGTCATTTTTCACCCCGTATTTGTGACTCGGGAAGCCATTGTAATTCTTGCAGCTGGCATTTCCTTCTGCTGCGGGGATTTTATGGTCATTTGTAACTTAACAAATGCAAGATTTTTTAATTTCATGCAAGTTTGAAGTTCAAAACATTTGCTTCCCTCAGCGGGGTTTGCATAATTTCATGAGAGTAGATAGGGATGCTTTTGCATATCAGGAAGGTAGAGGACTTCAACTGAACTTGCACTTGAATTCCGAGATGTCGGAGTTAAGGGTAAACTTCACAAAAGAGTAACTACAATTTTCGTTCTACTTATCAAGCTCCTAAATCCTGATTACCTAGAGTAATGTTTCCTTGACAGAATTCCAGGTTCACAAATGGGGCAAAAACATCTACCAAGGGGTAGGTTCAGGTTTAGGGTGTACCAAACCGAGATGACCTACTTTCCCATATTAATAGTTGTTGACCTCCGAATTATTGAATCTCCTGTCTTGGGAGAGATTGTAGTGAAATTATGTTTGGATTTTGTCCTTGTTTTTTTGCCTCTAGTTTAGGATAAATGAAATCAAGTTTGGATAATGTTTGACTGGATCAACTAATTTGTATTTTGTTAACACAAACAATTGATTTAATAAAGCGCTGGTCTCAATATAATTTTTTTTTGATAATGCAATGACCGATCTGAAATAAAAAGGTCACTTGAATATGTTGCTATTATTGTAATAGTTCTTATTACAACGAGAGACACGCCCCTCGGTAAACACATGCAAAAGCTCAATATTCACATTCTGAGGGATTAAAGCAAGGTGCTTCTATGCACAATTGCTTAACTTTTTGCAAACCTAGGCAAAATACAGTGAGTTCTATTTGCAATTAACGTGACACATTAAATATTTCTATTTTTGGATAATTCTTCCAAAACAATAATATCAAATCTAATCTTAATGCAATATCTTTCTTACTAAATTGTAATATTGTAACATCTTTTCAGTGATGTTTGTTTTTTGTTTTGTTTTGTTTTGATTTGTTTTTGTTTTTGTTTTGTTTTTCCTCTTTTTTTGTTGGTTTTTTAATCTTTCATTTGTCCATTTCTTTAAATTTTCTCAATACTTTTACAATTTTTTTCAAAACCTATTTAGTTTTTAATACTTTGTTTCACTAAGTACCACTCTCAACTTGACTAGTTGAATCAATTTACTTATGAATTCAATTCATGATTACATAATAAAGTCAAAATTACAACAAAAAAATAAAAAATAAAATTCTATCAACTAGTTAAAATTTGGGTTCATTAATTTCATTTGGATTGTTGCACTTTAGAAGTAGATATGAAGATAAATCTTAAGCCTCAACATCCTTCTAGAACACTTTTTACACCACTTCTGAACATTAGTGAAGCTTAAACCATTGATTGCATAATTAAATTATCTTTATAGTAGATTCTATTTTTCTAACTTATTTTATTTTATTTTTTTTATAATTCAATATAGTTTTTTATAGTAATTATAAATTACTTATTTTTGGTATAATTATAAAAATAAAAGAATTATCTTTATAAAATCATATTTTTATTTTTATCTCTTATTAATAATTAGATGAATATTTAGTAGATAGAATGTTCCTAATTTTGAATGTGCATTTCTCTTGTCATTCTTCATTTCATTATTCTTCTTAAAATATGATTTAGTAGAACTTTTTAATCATATAACTAATTTTTAGCAATTGTTAAGTAAGAGAACCTTAAAACTATTATTAATTTGACTTTAAAGTTCAATCACAATGGTTGTGAAGATGCTACCTTCAAATATCTTTATAGATGCTTGCCACACCAATTACATCAATTATTAGTCAAAGTTTAGATCCACAATATATCACAAATTCTTACAATATTTTTTGTTGCAATTATCATATTTTTAGAAATTAGCTATGTAATAACACTTTCCATTGTCTCAATATCTATTGTCAATAGTACTAATTGTCTTTAATTAATAATAACTTTGATCTCATCAATAACAAAACCTATCTTACTAACAATATGTCAAACCAACATTACATTTATTGGACACATTCTCGAGATTTCAACATTGATTTTCACAAGCAACTTTGTGCTAAGCTTTTGGTTGTTGTTATTTTTGTTTTGTTTTGTTTTGTTTTGTTTTTTTTGCATCTATTTCAAGTTAATTTCTAAATTATTATTATTTTTTTTATCATTTAACATCATAAAATTAAGCACCAATACAAGGTTTTCAATGAAAAAAAATCAATACTTATTAATAAAAAATAAACACCACAAACTATGGTGCTTAAAAATTATAAAAATAAAATATGGCATGGTAAAAATGTTTCTCTGAGTATAATAGTAAAAATTGTAATAAAAGATCCTTTAAACCTCTTAGAAGTTAGTAAATATATATATTTTTATATATCCAAATATTTCATCAATTGCTTATCTACTTTGTAATAAAATTTTGTCTTTGTTAAATCACAATACTTTAAGGTTTTTATTCTTATTTTTTATGTGATGCTTCTAGACACCTTATCTTTTTAGTATGGCTTTTCTTACAAACTACCAACTTTTAAAAATATTCGTGGTGGCTTAAAAATCCAAATTCTAAACCACCAAAAATAAAATTTACATATCATCTATATAAACTTACAAAGTTTTCTACAAAAAAAACGACTTCTTTTTTAGAATGGTTTTGTGTTTTTTCTTATAAAAATTAAATTACTCATATTTAGAAAAAAAACTAACATAAGGAATAAAACAAAAAATAATAGAGAATTTTTTTTCTTAAATTTCAATAAAACAACTATATTTGTTGTAATTATTTCTTTTCTAATTCTAATCCAAATTAATATCCTAATAGATTATTTGATTTATACCTTAGAAATATCAAATTGATATTATAAAATCCTCTAATAGATGCCTTAAAATATCTAATTTAATTCTTTAAAATGTCTCAATTAATGTTACAAAAGCTCTAATTTAATATAGTAGATTTTTAAAATTTATTCTTTAAAAATTCTTATTTGATACCTCAAAAATGTTTTTTTATAATTATTTTTAGTTAATTAATTTTAATCCCTTTTCATACTATTCTTTTATAAATTAATCTATTTTAATTCTTTGCTTATATTATTTATCTATTAAATAATAATAATTTTTTATTAATTTTTATTACATATAATATTATTATAATATTCATATATTTACTTTTAAATAGTAAAACTTATTATTTTTAACTAAATATTTATTTTTTTGATTTCTTATATAACAAAATATTTATATTATAATATTAATTTCTTCCAAACTTGTACATTCTTTGGTATGCATTATAATTTTGAACTTCTTCATCCTTAATGTCTAAATCAAGGTAATTATTCAAGTCTTCTTTTGCTTCTTATCAAACTATTAAGATTAAGAAGGATGAAATTCTTCAAAAGATAGTTATCAATCTCATTGTTTAAATATTTTTATAAGTTTTTTTACTACCAAAATCTTTAATTGAATACTATTCAACTCTTAAAGTAAATAAGTTGTGCTTTTATGCACACTTACTATGATATATGACCCAAATCATAATTTTTCAAACTTTTGCAATATCTATGTTAATGTTCTAAATTATTATCATACATCAACGTCAAATCTACTTTTTAAATCAATATTGGCATTGATGGTTAACTTCTATCAAATTTTATTTATTTATTTATTTATTTATTTATTTTGTTTGTTATTGTAACCTTATAATTTTTAATCTTTCAAAATCATCTTATTGGATTTTTGATACTATATCAAATTCTTTCATACAAAGATTTTTTTTAATATATATATATATATATATATATATATATATATATATATTTAAATTAAAAATAATATAGCATAAAGAGTTTCATCTAAAGACATCAATGGTTTTTATGTCAACATGAATTCTATTGACTTATATCATATTACTATGCTTTAGGTTATTTTATAAGTCCTTAATGCAAAAAAAAAGTTAACTTAATATTTACTTAAAATATTTTTATGTAAAAGAATGGGCTATAAAGTATGTATGTGATAAGGCAAGTCAAACAAGAATAAATTTTTTATATATATGGCTCAAGCTACATACACACCTCAAATTATTGTATATATAATCAAAAAAATAAAGACCTCTAATTTGTTACTTATTATTGTGTCAAGCTCAACACCAACAATTACAAGGTCAATGGAGCAACCTCCTTATTAGCAATTGGGATTTGATCAAGAGACAACATCAATGTAGGGGTTTCTTGGATAGAATATTCAAAAGAAAAATATTGATTTGAACTTTGTCTTGCTGCAAGTGCTAGTTTTGCTATTACTTATTTAAACTATAACTACAAGTAAAATCACCATCAAACATACCACAATTGTCAACTAGAATAAAAAAATCAATTGTAGGAATTTGTAGCAATTCATTGTAGCTGTCAACTAGGATAAAAAAAATTGATTGTAGGAATTTGTAGTAGCTCATTAATTCCTACCATTACTTTTAGCCTCTTGATTTTTACAAAAAGATCCTTACAAAGACAACATGCATGTTACACACAAGACAACCTAGATACAAGGTGAATACATAGATTGATATCATCACTATTTTTTTCATATAAAAATGCTAATTGGCCTCAAACTATGCAAGAATCAAAAGTTGATTGTTAATCCATGTCTCAATTGCAAAGAAGTTTGGTATCAATACATGCCAATAAATTCATCCTTCAACCTAGTACCATCAATTCAAATAGTTGGTTGGACTCTTCTATCTCAAAGACTAGCCTTACATGATATAACAGATGTTACCCTTCTTCAAATAACTTGATAAATTAAATTCCAAACCAACAAATAGTAAGGCCATTAGATTATGAACTATTGTTCATCAAATTGACCAACTAAGTATTCGATCAAAAAGTAACAATTAAATGGAAAGATGGACATGGAAAATAGAGTCAATTTGAGAATATGATGGAATGTGAGACATATTCATAATGTGCATGCATCTGGGTGATGTCTCCAAACTATTGACTTATACATTGGAGAGAAAAAGGCTTGCAGAATGCATGTCGCTTCAATAATGTTACAATGCCTACTTTGTTGGTGTTATACTAAGCTAGTTGTGGTAATCTATTGATATTGGTTGCCAATACTAAAATCACCAATACAACCATCCAATGTACATGTATCTCAAATAAAGTCTTCATTGAAAGTTGATCACTATTGCAAACATCTACCACTAAGTAGTCTCCTATTATAACATATCTATTATCTTATAAGTATAGTAAAAAACTCAACTTTACTAATATATTAGTGTCATGTAATAAAGTATGATGCTTTCAATAACCATAGCAAACAAGTTTGCAATAATAAGTATTAAGAAAAATTAGTTATAATTAGTGTGCACAAGCATCCATATTTCTACTATAGCTGTGAATTTAGTTTTTGTTATACCTTACAATTTATCATATTTGTCACCATTGCAAGATATTTTTTCTTACTAGATAGATGTATAAACTTATAGGCATCTACAATTTGGATAGGCAACATCAACACCAGAACTCGCCTAAGGACAAAATTCAAATCATTTTTTTCTTTTTCTTTTCCAAGGCTCTATCTTTAAAAATCCCCATAAGGATGGTACTCCTTGATCTTGCCCCTTAATTGGCCAGTAGAACAATCTCTTTCTTTGACCCTATAGTTGTCTAATTCTATACAACAACTAGAGCCAATTTGAAGTTTTTTCATTGGGTGTTAATATAGCAATTTGGAATGTATACATATCTATTCAATGTACATGTAATATATATATATATATATATATATATATAAAGTTATTTATTTTTTATTAATAAATAATTAATTATTATAAATAATTGCATATATTTTAGATTTATGGTACATTTTCTTCTTTAATTTAGGTATTTGATTTATTCATTAAATGAAAATATTTGATTTGTAGATATTTGATTTACTTCCTTAATTGTAAGTATTTGATTTGTAGATAAGTAATCTTGGTTTGCCCAAACAAGCTTTTTGTTTGTAACCTTAAAATATTTAGTGAAAAATAGCTTAAAAATATTGCATTTTAAGATATCCATAATGCAATCTTGAATCAACATGTATTGAAATATCATCCAAGACTGCTACCTGCATATCTGAGCTGATTTCTACATAAGAACCAGATTTTAGTGCTTAGAGTTTAATAATGAGCAGTAAACAAGCATGTTCTTTTCCTTGAACCACAATCCGGATTTCAAGGTCTAAGTAGGGTTTGCAAAAGAAATCCAAAAGCTCAAGGACAGACATTCACAAGCAACAGATTCATGGTTAGGATCAATACAATTGAACTCCAACTCCACCTCTTCATTTTTTTTTTTTTTTTTTTTTTTTTTTTTTTTGAGAAAAACAGATAAAAGAACAACATGCAGGAAAATCCAGCACATCTAGTCGATTCGCTTAGATATAGCAGTTTGGTGCCTGTTACTGCCGCTCCCTCTCTTTGTCAGTTTGGATCTACGCTGCCGGAACATGTGGAGGTACAGCAGCAACCATAGGAAAGGATACATGATCATAACCCACTGAAGCATCGATACATGCAGAGAGGACATAGGCTCGTGCCATTAGAAATGTCCACAGCAGTGGTCAACAAAGTCATATTAAAGGTTAAAACTAAGCTCCAGTTTCAATAAATGCAACATTACTGTTTTGGGAAACCCAACGCTTCGTGGCTCATGACTTAGACTGTAGCGTTAACCAATAAGAAGTATTGAAAAGAAAAGAAAGAGAACTTACCACAACAAAGAAGTGATAATCAAAGGGAAGCCACTTGAAGCTGCTTGCATAGAGGTTCCGATCCTTGATGAAATCCAATGATAAATACATCGCTAGCACTGCATAACTTACACTTGGTCACTAACTTTAATTCCTCACTCTAAACCTGATCCCAATTCCACAACTCAACATGCTATCCAACACAAGCTTATGGTTTTAGTTCACTCCAAACAATTGACTAAAGAGATAAGGCACTATACGCTCCTTATAAATTTCTTAACATTTTGAAAATTAGATGCACAAAAACGTGTTCCAGAGAACCTGCGGATGGAAGATTCAAGTGTTTTAAACAATGGACATTGAGAGGCTCTCCATTTTGAAGCTGAACAAGAGATAAGACACCCTGTGAAATGGGAGACTACACACAGTAAAAGCACAATGTAAACTGTTTACGGTACCAACATATCACTCACTTTCTCCATAAAGCGCCCCAATTGGATAAAGAACGATGAATGCTGTGTACCTGCAAAGACTCATCAAGAGTTTATCGGTTATCCTCAATATCCAAAGCAGAAATTCATGAAACAATCAGAAGCTGAAATGAGATGTAATAACTAAAGGTGAATCCCAAATTCACCACCACTTGTCTTAAAGAGGAAAAGTTCATGAACAAAACGATAATACTCATCTAGGTTGATGTTTTAGCAAACTATTCGTTGAGAAACAAAAATATTCCGTAAGATTTAAACAGCATAAAAAATAATATAATTCAAACTGAAAATTTGGAAATTTAGCTTAGTGAAACAGAAATACTCGAGCCACGCACCTTAGCCAGGTCAACCAGTGAGGACAAAGACCCAGGAGGCCAAGTGTATAATGTGGGTATCGTATGACCTATTAAATCAAAGGGAACAATTTGAGAGACGACACAGCATGGATGACAAGAAAACGTTATCGCGGGTTGCAGCTAAAGCCGTAAGACCCTAATGGGATGACATGAAGACAATGAAGCGTACGCATAGAGAAAGCATCCATATCAAGCGGTATCAAATAAGAAAAAATAATAATGATTGGTTAGAATGAAAACCTCGGCTGCGGACCATGCTAAGAAGGTGATCATAATAGGGGGCTGCTCTTGCACCTGCACGAATAAACAGGTTGTTTTGTGAGCTGCCACCACCAACTACTCTGTCACTTAGAATAAATATGAAAAACTGACATCAATAAACCACTTCTCACAACAGGAAGTACAGCATTGATGTGAGATGAGCTCAACGTCCACCAAAGCTTTACCTCAGGTATCTTGGCAACGATTGCGAAAAGGACATGACTCCGCCCCAACCATTGCATAAATGCAAAGAGGATGCCCGTAGGCACCAAACCTTGAAATCAAAAGCACTGAGTACGTCTCAATTAACAAAACCAGTAAAATGACAGGACCGTCTCATCAGCTTCTCTTGACGTTCCGATGCAGGGTAATGGTTTACGGAAGTTGGCTTCCTCCTCGAATTCGTGATTTTCCGGGAACATGCATAGATTTACTTACACTGCTACATAAATTCGATGTTTACATGCAGGAAAGGAATGTGCATACCTAGAGCAGAGTGTAAGATTTCTAGGAAGGCCGCCAACTGGAGAAAACCTGGCCAAATTCATCACTGACAGACTCAGTAAAAAAAAAAAAAATCAACTCAACATGATCAGCCGAACCAACAACCGGAAGGAAGGAAAGAATTAGCTCGTTTTCCGACTGAAGGTGAGCACACACGAGTTTGTGAACCACTCACTGTAGAGCAAGAGGTGTGAGGAAGTAATGCAAAGTAGAGACCCTAGTTGGAAATTCCTTACATACGACGTTGCCGGCCGCTGAGAATCCTCCCCGCAACGACTTAGTCTCGACGATATCATTAACCAGGCGTAGAAGCACGAGTGCCCTGCGCAGACCAACCAAATTCAAGGACATAAGATATCAGTGTATTGTGTATATATCTGAACAAGGATGGTTAAGAACAATTTCGATTGGCAACTGCACTAAACGCAGTATTTAACAAGTAAACGATCATGTATTAATGTTGTAAAAGAAGCACTGCAGGTGAGAGACAACAAAAGCAAACCAGCCAAGCGATTGAAGCGAATTGTAGCAGGTAAGATAGGCGTTGCGTGCGACGGAGGCGGTGGCCATTGCGACAGGAAAGTGGAAGGCCAGGGAGCGAGAAGAGATTGAGAAGAGGGGTGGAGTTACTGAAGTCGATAATTCAAGAACTAAATCCAAACAACAAGAACCAGGGGGTGGAAAGCAAGGAAGAAAGACAGAAAACGTTGCAGCGGTAATTCCCAACGCCAAATCTTAGCGGCATGCGTGCAAACCTCCTCTAGAAGATTGATCGGACACAACCACACTAAATCAGAAATACATTGAGCTCAACTGCTGTATGTCCAACTTCTCGTCTTATCCCCAGAGTCACGTGGTAGAACATTCACAGAGGGGGCGAGAGATCCACCCCAGCCTCGACAACAGAGGAAGCCGATTTTCTGAACCCTTCATCTCTGACAGGCCAGAACTACTTTTTAACTGGGCAGACTTTGAAAATATTAGTGTGCTGGACTGGCAGTGAACGAATGTCAAAATGCGGCTCAGGGCTCAGGGGAGGAGGGTAGGGTGGTTCTGTAGGTGTTGTCCAGGTGAGAGAGCCCAGGGTAAATACATGAGCAAAAACACATTTGCATAATTCATGTCAGTAAAAGTACATTCGTTGATGCAGGATCCCAAGACACATGTATTTATCATCAATCACCCAATCTTCTGCATTTAGTCCCTCCACTGCTTCAGATAGATGAAAAACAAAGTTTATTTAAATAAAGAAATCCTTTGCCTTTCCCACCCGCTACCCCAGGGCATCGGACGGGCAGCGGGCTAGGCAGGGATCGAAAGGACTGCACATGACGGTCGATGCAAGGATCTGTGGCGGTCGTCAATCAGAATCCAACAACATCTTGCGAGCCCAGGAGTCACGCAAATACTTTTGGAGGATGCAAGTGGGGAAGAAGGTTGGTTTCCTCACCACTCACAAAGCAGATCCAACCCTACCACGGCACTAGCATTGCCTACACATTCTGGGGCCAGTAAACAACGAGCCGCTTTTCTTCGCGAATCAGAAGGGAAGGCCCTCTCATCACGCTCCCGCATTTATCTCTCTGTCTCGCAAGGTACCTTTCTTTTTAAGTGAATCTTACAAATCAACAACAGCGTTGTCTTTGTCGTCTCCCCGCTCCTAACTCCGCTGTTTCTACTTCTTCTTGCTCACACGCTTCCTCGCACGCTCACCACTTGCATCCCATTGCGTGTTCTGCTTCTCGTCGTAGTCATGGCATCGCCCCTGCGATCCTCATCGTGATGATTCTCTGCCTCCATCCTCGGATCCCTGTCTGCATTTATATATCTTCGCAATTTCTCTCTGCACCCTGCTCTCCCTCATTTTCTCACTTCCATCCATTCCCTCCTCGTTTTCTTCCGGGTGTGTTCTCCTAGTCCAATGGGAGTCCTTGTGGCAGCTGGTTCTCTCCGCTGCATCCCCGCTCTTCTCCGATCCCGCCACTCTTCCATCGTAGGCCTTGCCCTCCCTTCCGTGTCCCTGCCATACAGGCACGCACCCTCATGGCCGGCCCCTCTTGTTACCATGGCCAAGTCCAATTGGGCTCACCATGCTTACCACCACGTCCAATGCACTATTGACAAAACACCCGCAGTGATGCTGGCATCTGGCGCAGCTGCTCTTGTCTTGATTCACTCCTCGTCTGCGTCTGCAGTGTCAGAGACCTTCACGATCACTTTTCCAGGATCACAAATTGGAGAGGTGCCAAACCAGCGCTTTGGTTTTGTGTTTTGTTTTGTTTTGTTTTTTGAAGTTCGGTTTCTAACTTTCGTCTTGCTTTTGTAGAGAGGTTAAAACTCTGTATTTATTCTTTGTGATCTCAAGTACGGGTGTGCCTCAGGTGAATGCGGTCCAGAAGACCTTGGTTGAGGCCTGGGGAATTGTGCGGGAAACATATGTGGATCCTACTTTTAACGATCAAGGTAAGTTTCCTGTGTGTGGAGAGTTTCTGTAGGTTCTTTTTCTACTTCTTCTCATCTACGAGGTCTGGATCACGTATGCCTCAAAAGCGGAAGCCTCTGATCTCTCAACAGTTTTGTGGCTGGGTTGATGTTTGTCGAGGGCTGAGGATTATGTTTATTATGTGAGTACTTCTGCTCATTCCTATCCTGGGCAGATTGGGATCTCAAGCTGCAAGAGGCGTTAGGGGAGACGCTCAGTGCAAAGACCTCAGAAGCTGCATACGCTAAAATTCGAAGTATGCTTGCCACTTTGGGGGACCCTTTCACTAGAATAGTCAACCCTCAGGTACAGTGGAGCTTGTACTTCTTTGTAATAACACAGCTGTGATTCCGGTTGAGTTTTTCTTGGATTGAGATCAGAACGCAAGGATTTGAAATTAGAGGGACTTTGTGCAGGAATATGCTAGTTTTCGTATCAACAACGACGGTGCACTGGAGGGTGTAGGCCTGCTCATTGGGTCTGACCGAGATTCTGGCCGACTGGTTAGTGATCCTCTTTGCTAATAATTGTAGGCTCTTATGTAGTTTTCACTCATGCTCGTCCATGAAACGTCCACATGTTCGAAGTCTGCCATGAAGAAGAATCCTCTATGTCTTAAACCTGGAAACTTAAAGACTCGCCAACTTTAACATACTGTGCCAGATCGTCAAGCTACTTCTTGTACTGTATGATTCTAATCAGTCTTGAATCTTGGACTGGGATAGATCATTTTTTGTGTTGTGAGTACCCAACCTTTATTTTCTACGTGATAACTTCGTTTTCTGTAGAACATGCTTGTCCTTGGTAATCAAGTATCTCGGCATTGCACACTGCCGGCTTGGCAGGCATGTGGGTCAAGGGGACTACATTGTCAAACACAGGAATCTGTACCCAATTTCGGTTATCTGGCTGACAAAATAACTTTTTAAGAGAATGTTGTGCTCTTGGAGTTGATGTAGTTAATTTTGTACATGCTATTTACTTTGTTCTGCATACTCCTGGGTAGATGTTAGTAGCACCTTCTGTAGTGTACTCGTCATTGTTACTATATGTACTTTTCAATATACAAAGTTAATATGCTATGAAATTTCAACATTACTTACAGACTCCTCACAAATTTAGTTTTGCTATCTCATCATTGATTCTTCTCATTCCTCCTTGAACTTTCACCACGTGATACTGTAAGTGACAACGAAACGCATGATTTGCAGGTTGTGTTGTCTCCTATTGAGGGTGGTCCTGCTCAGCGAGCTGGGATTGTCACTGGCGATGAATTAGTTCAAATCGATGGTAAGGCTGTTCATGATTAGTGAACTGAGTGTACCACATTCTTGTTTTCAAACCCTCTTCTTTCTTTCCAAGTATCTTTTGTGCGCATGCAACTGCCTAATTTGTACAGATAATTCTGGAAACTTTGAAAGACTTGTGCTGTATTGCAGATGTAAAACTTGTAGGTATGAACAATGAGGAAGTGGCTACAAGGCTGCGGGGCCGTGCCGGTACATTAGTTACTTTGAAAGTGCGCAGAGCTGTAAGTATGTAGCACCAATTTTTCTTTTTAAGAACTCAAAACCTGAAACTATCTTTTGATTATTCCATTTTGTAAATGGTTTGGTGTTAATTTACGGTGGTTAAGAATTGCTAATGGAGATCAGCGGATTCATGAAAGTTTAACAAGCCTGCAGCATGGAGAGGAAAGCCTGAGTTCAGTGGGAAGTATTTTTGGCAGGGAAATGGGTCAGCTATATCGACTGCTTCGGAGATAACTCAGTTTACGCTGAAGCGCGAAACAATACTGCTGTCCCCTGTATACTCCGCGGTGATTCATCATGTTGCGCTTAACGGTCAGGAGATGAAGACAGGTTACGTTCGTCTATCTTCCTTTTCGCAGGTTTGTATTGGAATGTCTCACACAGTCTCACCCTCACCTTAATCCTATCTGCAGAGCGGTGAGGATTTCGCAATTTCTTTAAGCTTTGAGAAGGATGGTACTAGAGAGCTGTTCTGAAGTAGGTGGACGTGCATTTCATGTCGAAAAGGATATATGTTTGCTGACTGGATTTTTCTAATGGGCCATAACTGACACTGGCCATGTATTTGAGGTCTGGCGATTGATGACTGATTTCATTTTGGGGTTTCAGAATGCTGCAGTTGACATGGAAAAAGCGGTCTCGGAATTGGAGGAGTCCGGAGTAGATTCGTACATCCTTGACTTACGTAACAATCCTGTATGTGTACGATTTTTCTTTGCATCTCTAGATTGCCTAGTAGAGGAATGAAGCGGAACCTGCGTCCTGACATACATGTTGAATTACGCGTTGTTCTCGCTTACAAGAAACATATCGATTCTTCAATAATGGTGGTGGATGTGCAGGGTGGATTAGTGAAAGCAGGCCTTGATGTTGCTCAGATGTGGCTAGATGGAAACGAGACTCTGGTGAATACCATAGACCGGAACGGATTCACACAGCCCATTAATTTAGTGAATGGTCATGCACTTACTCATGATCCCTTGGTAGTTTTGGTCAACGAAGGGAGTGCAAGTGCAAGTGAGATACTAGCAGGAGCATTACATGACAATGGGCGTGCAGTGCTTGTTGGAACAAATACTTTTGGAAAGGGGAAAATACAGGTGAGTTTCTTTTTCTCATTCAGCTGAATCAAAAGTTGACATGTATCTCGAATAGTGAACGAGTCCAGCTTGAACTTGCTGTTGATTATTTGTGCGGGCTCTTTAATTACATGTGCTCCATCTACAGATACATAAACAAACATAAACAAACATGTTTTCTTTTAGATTCGGATTATGCAGCTGGCCAGAATATTAGGATCGAGCACTGATTCCTGGATAACACTTTCTTAATTCGCCTAGTGAGGGAAGTGATCATTGATCTGTCCTGTGAAAGTTGAATTTCAATTTAATCTATGTTTTCTGTGTGAGATTTAGATGATCCAAATTCTTATAGATCTGTACACATAGCAGATAGTTTAAGATTCACTACGTCAAATATTTCTTGAATGATGTTTCTAATGCTGCCGACGTAATTGATGCAGAGTGTTACAGAATTACAAGATGGATCAGCACTATTTGTTACAGTGGCCAAATATTTGTCACCTGCACTTCACCAAATTGATCACATTGGTATTGCCCCAGATGTGAAGTGCTTGCCGGATGAAGTTTTACCAATTTCATCATCGGGGGTTGGGACGTCTGTAGACCCCCTGGACAGTGACTCGTGTATTTTAACGGCAGAACACCAATTAGATCTCCATTGAGATTCCATTTATTTGCTGACGTCACACCAACACTGTAAAGGTATACGAAGGAGCTCATGACAATGTCCAATACTCAGCAGATTCTTTTTTCACAATGGTGAGAAGATTATTTTGTCATGCAATTGATCAGATTGCTTTCTGGTAGAATCATGCAATAATGCATTTGTACATAGTCATTCATTTATTTTAGTGGAATTGAATCAATACCTTTCATCTAGTGTGTCCACTCAGATTTACTACTTTTCATTACTTATTACCAGACCTTGATGCAATGCTCATTCCAGCCTCACATGGCTTGTAATCTAGATAATTCAAATCAAATATACATTGCACGTTCACTGCTGGCTTCACACAGTGTTGTGTTGGAAGTCTAATTTTAACTAAAGTGACAGTGAATGGTGTACATGTATTGTTCACACCTTGACTTGTGGACATAGATGTAGGTCTTTTTACCAAAGAATAGACCGGGAAAATAATATATAATAAAAGGAAAAATCAGCTTAAATTGTTTGTTCTGAACAAAACTTGAATGTTCAACAATACTATCACAATGGCTGACAAAATAGTTTCATTTTGTATTCACGGTAGTCATGTGATATAGAATTCATGTTGTTTTCACATCCACCTTTGATTTCCATGTGCTACGACTTTTTGTGCCTTTCAAAATCAGAACTAATTCTCATGTAGTTGTTTTCCTGGATTTCTTTGTATATTGTTGGATTTTTGTTTTCTGTACCACAAGTTACAAAAAAGTTTTGTTTCATGGAAGGAAGGAATAACATCCTGTAATAGTAATAGGTGTTTACACTTATTAATAGTTGGATTTTTCTTGTCATCCAAAATTTCATGCATGAAGAATTTGAATGTGCCACACTTAAAAACCATGGTTCATTTACTTGTGCCGAACATTGACTCAGAGTGGTCTGTGCGCAAGTATCCTATCAGAGGGTACGCTTCTGGCTTCCAAGGGTGGGGAGGGTGGGCCGATAAGAGGGACCAGAACCTTTGCCCATCTTTTTCCTCCATGTACAGCACTTCACCGTAATTAGACACTAGGGAAGTATTTGAAGCAGCAACTGGGCGTGTACTGGTGGGCACATTCAAGCCCTCTTGCTAAGTCTTTGTTCATGATTCTACCAGGTTGAGATCACTAGCATGTCACATATTAAATCATTCCGGGGTGTTGAGGGAGTTTCAGAGAATTGTTCAAATTTTTGAGAGTTTAACTTGTGTCTGAATATTGGTGTTATCTTTTGCTTAACAAGGTTAGCTTAGGTTATGAGAAATAATGGACAGTATGAAAGTCTCTCAACTATGTTTAGCCCGGTTGAAAGACAAATCAGCCTCCAGCTGGTGTACAATTATAAAGGTGTAAGTAGGTCATGTGTAGACAGTTGATTCTGCGAAATTCAATATCAACTGTTACAGATGCTTGATTTCTGAACGCAATGGCATCATTATGACCATTCATGTCGGTGGCTTGTCCGCAATTCCCTTTCAACTGATCGTCTGCTCAAGGCATATTTAAGAGATTTTCTATTAGTCAAGCACTTTGAATTCATTGGAGACCTGTACATGCTGTGGTTTCGTAGTATATTTCGGTTGTTCAGGAGGGGAATACCGCATGTAGTCGTCCTCGGTCTCTTGAAGGGCATGAGTCCAACAAGTGGATATATGCGGCCACTGCACAGAACTTGTATTTGCATATTTTGCATTACAGCAGGCTTGGGAGCCTAAAATAGTTTGTTAGTAATGAGCCTGAGTATGCTCAGAATAAATTAGTGTCCGATTTTTTTTGATGTGGTCGGATGTATTATTCTAAAATTTAGTTGAAGAACTTACCCTCTGTTTGCATGTTCGCAATACTAATGGCTAGGAAAGTTGTGTATTGAAGTTCTGAAATGTTCATGGCTTGTGTTTATTGTCATTCCTACCTGATATGATTCTTACGTCTAACATATATGACAAGGCGTGTGGGTCACAGGTCCATAACTCAACGATATTTTGGGGAAAGACACATCCATCTGCAAGGTAAAGTTAGGGGATTTTCTGGTCACGGGGGATTTAATGACTTCCGAGATCACGAGCATTGCCTTGCTGTTGCCACCATGTATCTATCGAAATTTTAATACATCAAGCTTACGAAAGAATAGAGTTTTCTCCAAGCAGTTGGTGAAATAACATGCACTGTGAGCATTCTTTCACAGTACCATTCTATCAATTATCACCATAGGGACTGTCCCCGCAGTATGTGCAGCAAATCCATCAATTTTACTTCTCTCCTTACTCATGAATAATGTTCACAGTGTATTGAGAAAGCAAGGAGCATGTAGATCAATTTTCGAAGATTTCCAGGAAGTATTTGCGGCCGAGAGGAAAATTCTCCCTTCTGTACAGAGGTGCGATATTTCCTTCATCACATTAAGCAGATAGCTATCGCTGCAAATCATTGGTTGCAGATATAAATTCTCCTCAACAGGACACACGTCTAACGACGAATTGAACGCCAACCTAGTTAATTCTCTCGAAAGAAAACAATGTGCAGAACGGATTCTGCAAGTGACCACTGATTGAAACCAGACTGGTTTGGTACTGCACAGAGACTTGCAGGTTGAATGATGAGCTTCAAAATCATTTCAGTATAATGGTGGCAAAATCTCTCTAGTGTTCAGAAGATTGCTTGAAGTATTCTTACACTTCTGAGTATCAAGTTTAGCCTCCAAACTAGAATCTCGTATCCTCCAAGTCGCAAAAGAACATAAAAATGACTCTCAAAGACATGCTCATCCATTTTGAACTGGATTACACAGCCAAGCAACATCGAGGGAAAATTCAAGGTATGACATTTCAACAGCATGCCTTGCTTTCTATCAGACCCTTAAGATGCTTTATCACCAAATTTGGAAACACCTTTAATATATAATGTCAGAAGTGTACAGGATGTGTGTGTTTTTCCTACCTATAGCAATCAGCATCCCAAATTTCCATTCGTTCGCAGAGAAATTAGAATCAAGTTGTTAAAATTACAGGATTGACACTCTGGTACCACCTTCTGAGCCTACATGGGTCCAGCAGAAAAATGTAGGGTGGTAATTTTCTAATCGAGCAGTGTGGATGCTCTATGGTGCTGAAAGTATGCGTCCCTCTATTTAATTTTCCAAAATTATTCTTGTTTTCATGAAATCATGTTTTTTCCAAAAAAAACTCTTAGAAATCACCAACTTAGTCACAATAGACTTCATCCAAGGTCACAACTACATAAAAGACACATGAAGAGTTAAGCCCCACTCCATAAAACAGCACACTTTCATAATTCACCAAAGGTTGGATGTAATCTAACCTTTGCTTGAGCAATGTCAAGTACCTAAAGGCAGATGTCCTCTAAACTTGCAACAATTCCAATGACAAGTCTCTCTACTTGCATTCATATTTGTATCCTCTAAAGTTGCCTTTTACAAATGTGACACTAATAATAGTGTGAACTAATCAGAGTGTGAACTATTAATAATAGTTCAAATGACACTAATAATAGTGTGAACTAAAACATTGAGCATTGCAAAATGGCAACTAAATGACAATAGTATTGCAACACATTCACATGCAATGTGTCTTCTTTATATGGTATGGTTTGTTTAGGTGTCAATTGCGCTAAAAGACAACTAAGTTCATAACAACAATGTGTGTTGGTGTGTAAAAGTGGTTGTTGAAATAAGTTCAATGAACAGACATAGTTGGAAATAGTTGCAATATTAAAAGACGGGTTAGAGAATTTAGAGCTTGAATGTAGATAAATGTAAGGAGAGGATGTCTTAGTAGTTTTCTTGTTTTAATCCAATTGATAATTTAAGCTTAATTGTTACAAACTTCAAATTTTAAGATTTTTTTTAAAAAAAGAAACAATAAGAAAGTAACATTTTATTGTGATCATTACAAGACATGTGTTTTACAAATATATTTCACAATATATATATATATATATATATATATATATATATAATTTTCATGCATTTAAGATTTTAAATCCACTCTAAATTATTGATTTATCTAACAATAAATTCTGATATATCTTTTTAAACTTATATTTTGCTGTTAATCAAAATATCAAAATTTGTACAAAATCAACTTCTAAAAATATACAAAAATATATTATTAAATTAAAATAATAAAAATATATAGCTTTAGAAAAAATAATGTTTAGAGATTTTAAACACATTTCATATGACATATGTATATATATATATATATATATATATATACATAGATAATATTTAAAATAAAACTTGCTAAATTATAATAACAAATAACCAAATATATTAAAAATTGATATCGAACCTCAAATATTTTTTTTTATCAATGTATATCTTAAGTCATTGAGAATTATAATAGTGCATGTTTAAGTCACAATTTGTGTTATATATTATGTTTATTAATAGAATAAAATAATTCATATTAAAGCCTTGTCTAAAATGCACTTATCTAGTATCAAAAAAAAAAAAAAAAAAAAAAAAAAAACAAAAACAAAAAAAATGAATATAATCAGAAATATATATTTTATATATATAAATAGAGCAAATGCATAGTTAAGCAATAAAATCAATTTTTCTACTTGAAAGTATTTTTTCAATGAATTTTATTTAAATTAGTCATTAAATCTTCTTGTTCTGGATGATAAAAGTATTATTCTTATTTATTCTAGAAAATTTGGTTTTTAAAAAAACTTATTTTATTATGAATTCAAGAATAGAGATTATGATGTCCCATTGTCTGATTTTACACTAGTCACAGATGCAACAGTGGTCTGCTTGACTCAATTGAAACTCTGATATTTTTCTCTCCAAAAAGTGGCAAGTTCTTTGGATCTGAAATGCTAGCTCATGCATTGCAATTTAAATTACACAAGTGACTTGAGCAATATACTTTGTCATTACATGTTTGAAATGAACCAATCAAACAAGCTTTGAGATTTTGAAACATACAAAGAGAATCCAACAGACCCTTATGCACATGGAACTTGGGGGCAGCTAATTTAAAAACTACCAGGCACTTGCAAACACTTTGTGAAGAGGAAGGTATGGTTTTGGAGCAATAAAGCAGTACTATAAATACTTAGTACTTGGTAGCTGCAATAGTAGTTGTTGAAGTTAACATGCATACTCCTACCACTCTATGACTCACATTATTTGAAGTGTGTACACACAACAAATTTAATCTAATTTTCAACCATGTAATTGCTCCACACCAAAAAAACAAAGTTGAAAAAAGACATTAACATAACTGAGAAGCCTAACTTCATATAGATGTAGATTACGATACACACCATTTATTTAAGATTAATTATTTATTAACTTATTTTTGTCTATTCCAAAGTTCTCACATAAGTGTGTTGACACATGTGAAACAATTGTTCTGTTTGACA